ACTGGCAAGCGCAAGAGGCAGGGTTTCCGTTGCTTCACGCCTTTTTCAGGTGTGTGCGGCTTCCACGCTAGTGGCAACTGCTCCTGACTCCTTTTGCAAGGCACCGCCAGCATTTTTCCTCTCACTTGAGCGAGAGTCCCCATTTCTCTACTCACGTAGGTTTTCATGCTGCTGGGTTGACAGGAGCTGGGGAGGAAACAGGAGCTCAATCTGCTACGTGAAGGCTGGGCTCGAACCGCTGAAGTGTCGACCATTTCTGGCCGGCAACTTTCAGTGTCATTAAGCCGCTGCGCCACCAAGTCCCCTCCATCTAGTTTTACTGAAGTGAAATAATGCCTGTCCTCAATTCTCTTATTTTGGCATAACAATTGTTGGATGACTCTGGAAGACTGTTAGTGGGGAACTAACCTTAGGATCCCAAATCTAAGAAAGGACAAACCCTTTCTTCCTATTACTTCATATCAATAAATAAAATAAAATCCTCCTTAAAAATACCACAAGTTGTTTTCTGCCCCTCAGTTTTATGGGCTTTCTATTTTATTTTCTTCTACCCCCCAATGACCAGTAAATAAGCAGCCAATATATCAGTTGTATGTTAATGTGGCATGCTTTTTATTTTATTTATTTAAAATCTCAAGTTCTACCATCCCCCACTCATATAAGATTCTTTTAATTGCTCTACTATACTTCTTTTTATCAGAAAACTTTGTGCTGTCCTTCACATTGTGTTCTATCTTGTTCTCTGAATCTTCCCAAATTTGCTCTTTCATTGTAACTAATTATTTCACCTCTGGTTCTGGCGCGCTACATTTATTAGCAAAAAGCAGCAGATTATAATAAACACAGCACCTGACCATGGCTACTCATTTCTTTTAAATCCTCTCCTTAAATTTCTTAGGGCCTCTTTATGGACCTCCTGATTCTTCAGCCAAATCTCTCACCCATCGATAGATCATGGCAATAAAATGCCTTATAGAAACAAGCGCTGTTTTAGCTGATCTGCAACACTGGAGGTACCCATGTATTCGACATTGTTCTTTCCAAAATGATCAAATCTTGCTGAAGTGAAGTGAATCTTTTCTAAACAACTGGAGCATCATTCTGCATAATACAAATGAAGATTCTACCCTACATCAACCAACCTTCACAACCCTTAACACAGATATGACTTCTGTGCCGATACAAGAATCCATGAAAGTCCTCTTTCAAATATTCCTGCAGTGTGCATAATCACTTCCATTTAATTGCCCACCATTAATCTGGCACTTTAAGCTTATTTTCTTTCTGACACTGTCCCTCAAGCACTAAAAGGAACAGCCAAAATGCTTCACATGATGGCAGCGAATCTAAAGCCAGTGCCACTCATTGCTGTTGATAGGGCTATGAACTGCAACCATGCTAACCATACCAGAAACAGGCAGTCAGTTTCAACACTATAGTTGTGATGTGGCTAATGTTATGTCAATGTGTTCCAAGGAAAACAGTCAGCTAGCCAGCTGTTAAGCAGAGGACATTGGAAAAGGCAAACTCTTGTGAACCACTACTGGTGATCACTGCAGTCAGAAATTTCCTAACTATAGCTATACTCGTAAGACCTAGCAGCTGGAACCGAAGAACAGTTGGAGGCACATCACATATTAATTTAACATGTTTGTTTATATTTAATATAGATTTTTAACATGGATAGAAATTGGTATTCCCATATATGCCACTAGCTGGATTGGGACAGTTATTTAAAGATTCAGGAAGTACAGATAAATTTGTTTTATTAAAACCAGGGAAGAATAGTTTAGCCAGTTGAGCTTTCAAAAAGCTGCTGAGTCATTTCTCAGAAAAGCTATTTTGAAAATCAAAGTTGCAAGCCCTTTGGGCAGGTCACCTACTTGGAAACAGATAGATCAGGTCTAGTTTGGCCTAGTTTTCCTGGCACAGGAAGGGCACCAGATAATCCTGATCTTTAACTGAAAGTTCAGCAAAAGCATTATGTGAGCAGTAAAGTACAATACAAGTGGGTAACAGCATTTTCAATAGTTTGTGAAATGTGTTGTATCAACACTAGACTATAGATTCTTTAGCTTCTTGCATTTTCTATCAGCCACTGTAATTGGTACTGTTCAATTCAAGATGTTTCAAAGACAGAAATAAGAATCATTGCCGTGAAGCAATAAACTAATTCTCAAGGATTACCCAATGAATATTGGCTGTAGGCAGTAAATGTTAAATAACTGATTACACATTGTAATTAAACAGGATTACACTGGAAATAAGGGGATCAAAATTTCCCCATTATCATCCCCAGACCAATGGTCTGGTGGAACAATTTAATCAAACCCATAAAGCAAATGCTGAAAAAAATATGTTTTGGAGACAGGTTCTGATTGGGACAGGTGGCTCCCATTCTCATTTGCTTATCAGGAGGTCCCTCAGACTTTTTCAGGATTCTCTCCTTTTGAGTTGCTGTATAGCTGAAAAATCAGGAGATTCCTTCAGATGGTTAGGTAAACTTGGGAAGGAAAGGCCAAGCCTCTTTCAAGCAGCATTACTATATCCTACAAATGAGGGATATGGTAGACCAGATGAGGGACATGGCTTCAGAGAACCTTCACCAATCCCAAGTGCACCAAAAATCATACTATGACCAGCATACTACACAACGAGAATTTCAACCGGGACAGAAAGTGTTACTGCCTTCTACTGCGAGCAAATTATTAGCTCAGCAGCAAGGGCCTTTCTGACACTTAGGACCAGTCAATTGTGAAATCCTCATGCCTGGACATCACCCCTCAAAGCAAATCTGGCATATCAAACTGCTTAAAAAGTAGGTGGAACCTGAAAGCCAATTTCATTCCAGTTTGATGGTTCATCAGATATATGAGAGGGTCAAAGAGAATGATGAATTTTTTTTAGATTTTTTTTTTATCCCATCTTTCTTATTTTTTAATAAATAACTCAAGGCAGCGAACGTACCTAACAGTCCTTCCTCCTCCTGTTTTCCCTGT